TGCGCCGTTTATTCGCAACCCAGTATAGACAAAAGATCGATCCGTCATCACGCGCACATTTCATATAACACAGGAGAGTTTGATTCAGTTTACCATTGAAAAAAACAGTTAATATACAATTCAAAAATCTGCCAAAATAATATTTCCAAGAAAGAAGGGTTCCAACAATTTCAGACCATTTATTTACTCGCTCCAGGTGTTAGATGACATCAATACAACATTACACGAAGTTCCATTCCGTAACTCAAATGGTGTAGCTGGGGCTGTCTAAATAAGCCAGCCATTTACCATCATATACCAGCGAGCTTGGGCTGGCCTTTAACCAGCTCATATTACTTGCACCGGACCAGGCCAATTTTCTAATAAACGATGTTGTCCATTTGAAATGTAATACACATTTGAGATCGATAGTCCAAAACAGCACGTCAAGAAACTATAAAGACTAATAAAAAGAAAGGCACAACGAAACAAGAAAATGCAAGAAACTTATACGAACATCGATATCTCTTGTTTTTTTTTTTCCTTCAGAAAAGAACTAAAAAGACATATATATTAGTCATCTAAGAAAAGGATAACATAAACATTTTGTTTTTTTCTTCAAAAAATAACTAAAAAGACTTAGTCATCTATGAAAAGGCCAGAAAGAGGGGGGAAGGGAGGAAAGGAAAGAAACTTCAAAGAACAAACTCGTCCAAAAAGTCACACTTCAAGAAAGCAACACAAACACTAGACTTTATAAGGGTGTATACTGTAATAGCCAACCCTGCAAGTTAGCTCCATTTTCTTCATTTCCTCCTTGACGAGGTTGTAGATCAAAATCGTATTCTCAACCAAATCGGCACAAAGTACCAACACCTCCAAATACTTAACCCACCCAACTGGAATTATAGCCAACCTTAAAGATATAAATTGGTTCCAAGATTTAAATCGGCTCCTGTGTTCCTTCAATGAAAAATTCCCCGCCATTCTCCATGCAAACGTGCGAGGATCCATCTCCCAAACTTCCCAATAAAGCTCCCCACACTCACGCAATAAAGATAAATACTTTCCAGTCGACAAGTAA